GCAGTCATGTGGTGTGGGTGTTGGTGTTGAGCAGTCATGCGGTGTGGGTGTTGAGCAGTCATGTGGTGTGGGTGTTGAGCAGTCATGTGGTGTGGGTGTTGGTGTTGAGCAGTCATGTGGTGTGGGTGTTGAGCAGTCATGTGGTGTGGGTGTTGAGCAGTCATGTGGTGTGGGTGTTGAGCAGTCATGTGGTGTGGGTGTTGGTGTTGAGCAGTCATGTGGTGTGGGTGTTGGTGTTGAGCAGTCATGCGGTGTGGGTGTTGAGCAGTCATGTGGTGTGGGTGTTGAGCAGTCATGTGGTGTGGGTGTTGGTGTTGAGCAGTCATGTGGTGTGGGTGTTGAGCAGTCATGTGGTGTGGGTGTTGAGCAGTCATGTGGTGTGGGTGTTGAGCAGTCATGTGGTGTTGGTGTTGAGCAGTCGCGTGTTGTGTGTGTTGGTGTTGAGCAGTCATGTGGTGTGGGTGTGGGTGTTGAGCAGTCATGTGGTGTGTGTGTTGGTGTTGAGCAGTCATGTGGTGTGGGTGTTGGTGTTGAGCAGTCATGTGGTGTGGGTGTTGGTGTTGAGCAGTCATGTGGTGTGGGTGTTGAGCAGTCATGTGGTGTGGGTGTTGAGCAGTCATGTGGTGTGGGTGTTGGTGTTGAGCAGTCATGTGGTGTTGGTGTTGAGCAGTCGCGTGGTGTGTGTGTTGGTGTTGAGCAGTCATGTGGTGTGGGTGTTGGTGTTGAGCAGTCATGTGGTGTGGGTGTTGAGCAGTCATGTGGTGTGGGTGTTGAGCAGTCATGTGGTGTGGGTGTTGGTGTTAAGCAGTCATGTGGTGTTGGTGTTAAGCAGTCATGTGGTGTTGGTGTTGAGCAGTCATGTGGTGTGGGTGTTGAGCAGTCATGTGGTGTGGGTGTTGGTGTTGAGCAGTCATGTGGTGTGGGTGTTGGTGTTGAGCAGTCATGTGGTGTGGGTGTTGAGCAGTCATGTGGTGTGGGTATTGAGTAGTCATGTGGTGTGGGTGTTAAGCAGTCATGTGGTGTTGGTGTTGAGCAGTCATGTGGTGTGGGTGTTGAGCAGTCATGTGGTGTGGGTGTTGGTGTTGAGCAGTCATGTGGTGTGGGTGTTGAGCAGTCATGTGGTGTGGGTGTTGAGCAGTCATGTGGTGTGGGTGTTGGTGTTGAGCAGTCATGTGGTGTGGGTGTTGAGCAGTCATGTAGTGTGGGTGTGGGTGTTGAGCAGTCATGTGGTGTGGGTGTTGGTGTTGAGCAGTCATGTGGTGTGGGTGTTGGTGTTGAGCAGTCATGTAGTGTGGGTGTTGAGCAGTCATGTGGTGTGGGTGTTGAGCAGTCATGTGGTGTGGGTGTTGAGCAGTCATGTGGTGTGGGTGTTGAGCAGTCATGTGGTGTGGGTGTTGAGCAGTCATGTGGTGTGGGTGTTGGTGTTGAGCAGTCATGTGGTGTGGGTGTTGAGCAGTCACGTGGTGTGTGTGTTGAGCAGTCATGTGGTGTGGGTGTTGGTGTTGAGCAGTCATGTGGTGTGGGTGTTGGTGTTGAGCAGTCATGTGGTGTGGGTGTTGAGCAGTCATGTGGTGTGGGTGTTGGTGTTGAGCAGTCATGTGGTGTGGGTGTTGAGCAGTCGCGTGGTGTGTGTGTTGAGCAGTCATGTGGTGTGGGTGTTGGTGTTGAGCAGTCATGTGGTGTGGGTGTTGGTGTTAAGCAGTCGCGTGGTGTGGGTGTTGAGCAGTCATGTGGTGTGGGTGTTGGTGTTGAGCAGTCATGTGGTGTGGGTGTTAAGCAGTCATGTGGTGTGGGTGTTGGTGTTGAGCAGTCATGTGGTGTGGGTGTTGGTGTTAAGCAGTCGCGTGGTGTGGGTGTTGAGCAGTCATGTGGTGTGGGTGTTGGTGTTGAGCAGTCATGTGGTGTGGGTGTTAAGCAGTCATGTGGTGTGGGTGTTAAGCAGTCATGTGGTGTGGGTGTTAAGCAGTCATGTGGTGTGGGTGTTGGTGTTGAGCAGTCATGCGGTGTGGGTGTTGAGCAGTCATGCGGTGTGGGTGTTGAGCAGTCATGTGGTGTGGGTGTTGGTGTTGAGCAGTCATGTGGTGTGGGTGTTGGTGTTGAGCAGTCATGCGGTGTGGGTGTTGAGCAGTCATGTGGTGTGGGTGTTGGTGTTGAGCAGTCATGTGGTGTGGGTGTTGGTGTTGAGCAGTCATGTGGTGTGGGTGTTGGTGTTGAGCAGTCGCGTGGTGTGGGTGTTGAGCAGTCATGTGGTGTGGGTGTTGGTGTTGAGCAGTCATGTGGTGTGGGTGTTGAGCAGTCATGTGGTGTGGGTGTTGGTGTTGAGCAGTCATGTGGTGTGGGTGTTGGTGTTAAGCAGTCGCGTGGTGTGGGTGTTGAGCAGTCATGTGGTGTGGGTGTTGGTGTTGAGCAGTCATGTGGTGTGGGTGTTAAGCAGTCATGTGGTGTGGGTGTTAAGCAGTCATGTGGTGTGGGTGTTAAGCAGGCATGTGGTGTGGGTGTTGGTGTTGAGCAGTCATGCGGTGTGGGTGTTGAGCAGTCATGTGGTGTGGGTGTTGGTGTTGAGCAGTCATGTGGTGTGGGTGTTGAACAGTCATGTGGTGTGTGTGTTAAGCAGTCATGTGGTGTGGGTGTTGGTGTTAAGCAGTCATGTGGTGTGGGTGTTGAACAGTCATGTGGTGTGTGTGTTAAGCAGTCATGTGGTGTGTGAAATTCAACCACAAACAGGAGCTTTGTCCCCTACACTCTACAGCGAAGCCGCTGCGCACACGCTAAGGGAGCTCAACACAAACTATAAACTATACTCGAACAATTCTATGTTAAAAAGAAGCTTAAGCACCATATTATATTGGGAGCACAAAGCACCACGCTTAGTTTTCAGTCGTACGATTATTACTACGGAACAGTATAAAATCTGGGCAGTATGTTAACTTTCACAAATAATATCAACCTGTATACAAATTAAGTGTACCAAATATCAACTTACACTCTAATGTGTACCAAACATCAACTTTCACACAAATGTGTACCAAACATTAACTTTCACACAAATGTGTAGGGCCTACAAAAAACCAGATTTAAAAGTTAACTTAAAATTTACCAAATATCAATTTATAAATAGCTTTTAATTTTTAAGAAAAAATTGACGACTATGGATTGCAAAAGTGTATAAATTATAAAAAGTTCATTTAATAGTCTAAGGGAAGTAATACAAGCTTTGATTTTATATTTATTATTTTATTGATTATGTCCCCCACTAGAGTTTTTTTTTCACCAACGGATTTCTGATAAAAAAAAAACGTTGAAACAATTACCTTTAAAGTATCCATAAGTTTAAGTAAAGCAACTTAATTAAATGAAAATTGTATAATATTTAAATTCTCGTTACGTACTTTCAATTGCATGTAGAGTGGCATATGTAAATTCTGGCATATGTAAAGTCTGGGTATGATCTGATCTAGATTATGTCAAGTCTGTGATAGTTAGCGCCCGACCATTCCGTCTACGACTACTGTCAAAAGTTCTGCCATATTGTATCAACAAAATCAGTAATACTGTCAAAGTACTACCATATTTTAACGACAAAGTAAGAAAAATGTCGCAAGGTCTGCCTTTTCTTACAACACGTCTACGACAAGTATCAAAGTTCTGCCATATTTGAATACGAAAACCACGTGACTATTAAAACCAACGTATGAGATGTTTAAACAAGGCTCCGTGCAAACACTATGGCTCAAGAGAAGATCGGCTATTTTTAGACTAATCAAACAGAAGATATTCATTAAGAAAACTTATATGCTCAGGTATATTATAGGATGAATCAGAGCTAGATTTAACAGCACACGTATACTGAATCGTCCATATTACACACCCCACATATAACACACACCTACCTGCGAGTATTTCATTTCAGGATCAAGTTAAGGGGCTCACATAGATACACATCTCACACATACACACACCAGAGGCGTAGCGAGGGGGGGGGGGACATATGTCCTAGAGCGCCGACCTTAGGGGGGGGCGCCAAATTGAAAGTTCGAGGGGGGGGGGTGCAAATCGAAAGTTTATGGAGGGGGGGTGCAAATCGAAAGTTTGAGGGGGGGGGTGCAAATCGAAAGTTTGTCCCCGGGCGCCGGGAAGGGTCGCTACGCCTCTGACACACACACAATTCCCCCCCCCCCCCCCCCTTACTAACACACTCGCGCTTAATGGCACAATGAACACTCACATAGAAAGCACACACACACATACTGACATGCCTATATCTTGCATTAACAGATACACACACATAAACATACACTAGTACAGCCCAATTTACACACAATGTCAACACACACACACATACATAGACTAGTACAGCCGAATATACACACAATATCAACACACAGACACACATATTCGCACAGCCATATATACACATAATATCACCACCCACACACATCCACACACAGACTAGCACAGCCCAATATATCCACAATACCAGTGGCGTAGCGATGTCGGGTGTCACCCGGTGCGGCACTTAATGGTGTCACCCCCCAGAGGCGCAACGACCCTTCCCGGGGACAAACTTTCAATTTTCGATTTACACCCCCCCCCCTCAAACTTTCGATTTGCACCCCCCCCCCTCAAACCTTCGATTTGCACCACCCTCGCTACGCCCCTGCACAATACAACACCACACACCCACACACAATATCAACACACACAGAGACTAAAACAGCCCAATATACTCACAATATAGACATACACACACCCACACACATAGACTAGCACAGCCCATTATACTGATAATATCAACACATATACACACACACCCACACAGGACACACACTTTTACACGTCAGAGATGTTGCAATCAATTTTTCCCTCCAACTGACACCCCGACAAACGATGTTATAGCCACATTCAATACCTGCCACTACTGTTAATTCAATCGTCCGCTAAAAATAGAACCATGTAACGGTCCAATGAAAAAACTCCAAATCTAGGACACAAGACGGATGTCTTTAGATCCTTGTAGGAAACAATGGTCTTAATGTACCTGTGCTGATGTCTTGCAACTTCACGTCGTAGCGATGTAGCTATGAATAGACACAAACACAGACTAACACATTCAAGGCGCAGGTGTCAACAGGATACAGCAGGTAAATTTTATCTCAATTAGAAAAATATTAGTGGATTAGCGCGGGCTAGTTTCTCATCGCATATAAACATACATGTGTGTGCTATATTTGTTTTAAATTGTACAACCTATTTCTTAAGTATAATATATATTAAGTGTATATGTTTACACATACATATAAATATTATATATATATATATATAAATATAAATATATAAATATATATATATATATATATATATATATATATATATATATATATATATATATATATATATACATATACATATATATTTATGTATATATATATATATATATATATATATATATATATATATATATATATATATATATATATATATATATATATATATATATATATATATATATATATAGATATATATATATACATACATAGGCCTACATACATAAATATTTCAGACACATTCTTCAATTGCGACCATGAAGTACTTCACCATAAAGCTTATCACTTTATTGGCTGTAAATTTCATAAACTTCGGTAAGTGAAAGTTTATAGATTTTATGTTAGGGGTTTGGTGCTGGTATACAAAAATCGATCAAGATAAAACAACATTCGAAAGTAAAAGCTTTTCACGGATTGTATGTTATGAGTTTACTGTGGATATAAACAAACAGCTTAATATAAAACAAAATATGTAAGTACAAGTTGTTTCGTGTAGTGCAGATTCAATACGAGACATATTAGTATCGGTTGTGTGTCCTGTCTAGTTCTTCATATTTTACAACGGAACGTTCATAAAATCCTAGCTCAAAAAACTTTAGAAAGAAGTCCTCTCTACAACTTTATTGTGTTGTAAATGTACTAAATATTGTTGTATTCTATATTTACTGAACATATTTGTTAAGTATGTGCCAGACATTGTAGTGTCCAGCATGTGTTGAATATGTGTGTGTTCTATATTTGTCAGTTATTGTATATGCTCTCTCTATTTTTGTGTGCTAGATATTGTGTCTATATGTGTTAAATATTGTTTTATTCCATATGTAGTTGTGTCCATATTATGCTAGATATTGTTGTGTTCGATGTGTCGTCCACATTTTTTAGTTCTATATGTGCTAGATATTGATATGTTATGTATTTACAAGATATCGTTATGTTCTATATGTGCTAGATATTCATATGTTATGTATCTACAAGATATCGTTATGTTCTATATGTGCTAGATATTCATATGTTATGTATCTACAAGATATCGTTATGTTCTATATGTGCTACATATTGTTGGGTGACAGGACAAATGATCCCAGGACAAATGATCTCAGGCCAAATGATCTTAGGACAAATGATCTCAGGACAAATGATCTCAGGACAAATGATCTCAGGACAAATGATCTCAGGGCAGATGATCTCAGGCCAAATGATCTCAGGACAAATGATCTCAGGACAAATGATCTCAGGACAAATGATCTCAGGGCAGATGATCTCAGGCCAAATGATCTCAGGACAAATGATCTCAGGACAAATGATCTCAGGACAAATGATCTCAGGACAAATGATCTCAGGACAAATGATCTCAGGACAAATGATCTCAGGACAAATGATCTCAGGACAAATGATCTCAGGACAAATGATCTCAGGACAAATGATCTCAGGACAAATGATCTCAGGGCAGATGATCTCAGGCCAAATGATCTCAGGACAAATGATCTCAGGCCAAATGATCTCAGGCCAAATGATCTCAGAACAAATGATCTCAGGCCAAATGATCTCAGGACAAATGATCTCAGGCCAAATGATCTCAGGACAAATGATCTCAGGACAAATGATCCCAGGACAAATGATCTCAGGACAAAAGATCTCAGGACAAATGATAGGCCAAATGATCCCAGGACAAATGATCCCAGGACAAATGATCTCAGGACAAATGATCTCAGGACAAATGATCTCAGGCCAAATGATCTCAGGACAAATGATCTCAGGCCAAATGATCTCAGGACAAATGATCTCAGGACAAATGATCCCAGGCCAAATGATCTCAGGACAAATGAACTCAAGGACAAAAGATACCAGGACAAAATATATCAGAACAAATGATACCACGGACCATGTGTGTACTGCACCATATCCTTGTTGATAATGTCCTAAAATGTCCTGTATTACCTACTTATTTGTTTATTGTGTCTTAAAATGTCAAGTAATTCCTATCGTCATATTGATAATGTCCTAAAATGTCCTGTTATTGCTACCTACAAGTTGATAATGTCCTAAAATGTCCTTTTATTGCTACCTACATACTGATAATGTCCTAAAATGTCCTGTATTTCCTGTCCCAGCCTACGCCACAGGACCACTGCGGGTGTGCTACTTCACCAACTGGGCGTACAATCGGCCGTCACCGTCTGCCAGATTTGACGTCAAGGACATTGACCCCACCGTCTGCACCCACCTCATCTACGCTTTTGGCGTCTTGAACACAACCACTAAGACTCTGACGGCACAGTATTATGAAGAAACAACCAGCACTGGCAGATACCAGTGAGTCATTCATCTGTTAGAATAATGTTAGCGTGACTCAGCTGTTAGAATAATGTTAGCGTGATTCAAGCAGTTTAGTGTGATCTGTCATTCAGCTGTTAGAATAATGTTAGCGTGATTCAAGCAGTTTAGTGTGATCTGTCATTCAGCTGTTAGAATAATGTTAGCGTGACTCAAGCAGAGATACCAGTGAGTAGTTCAGCTGTTAGAATAATGTTAGCTGTCACTAAAACATAGGCTCAGGGGCGGAACTACAGTGCCGCCAGACCCCGCAATGCGGGGGGGGGGGGGGCCCACGCCGTTTAGGGGCTCACAGCCGATCATAATCAATTTCTTTTTTAGTTAAAAAATTTAATTATCTTTCATTTTTGACTTGATGGTTGTTTTGTTAAAAGAATACTGTAGATGCGGTTGGATTATCTTTATTCTATAGACACCATCCCACGATCTTGTATAATTATACTTTTTCCTTTTGTTTTGAAACCATTGTAAAAGTTATCAAACGTTTAAACCACTTCCATGACTTATTTCCCTTTATTAAAAGTCAAATAAGGGTGCCCATAAGCTCCTTTTAATAGATTTATACTAAACAATTAAAAAGCAATAACTTCTCTTAATTACTCAAATTTTGACAGAACGAAGAGAATTAGATCTTTTACTTACATGTGAAATTTCATTTATCTATCTGAAATAGTACTCAAGTTATAGGCTTTTGAAAAATTCAAAGTAGAAAAAGTACCATTTCCGGTTATTTGAAATCGCTCAAAAGTTGATACGGATCTACGATTTTGATAAAATACTTATATATGAAATTTCATCAACCTAGCTGTAACGGTACTCAAGTTATCGTGTTTACACACACACACACAGACATACGGACAGAATTGCAAAGCCCAGTTTTTCAGACTGGATTACGCATAAAACCTCTTAATTTTGATAAATCTGGATTGATAATTTTTGCCCGATTAAAATAAGTCCTCTATACTTCGGATGTGATGAAGGACTGAGGTGTAATACGGTGAAAATTGTTAAAATTTCAAGTTATTTTTGTGCACGATTACAATACTTTCTCTATACTTCGTATATACGAGAAAGTAAAATAAATTTAATTTTTTTGTTTTTTTTCAAAACTCAAAACTCGAACAAGCCCGAAATGAGTAAAATGAGTGTTCTTTATTCGTATTTTCTTTATATATATATATATATATATATATATATATATATATATATATATATATATATATATATATATGTATATATATATATATATATATATATATGTATATATATATATATATATATATATATATATATATATATATATATATATATATATATATATATATATATATATATATATATATATAGGGCATATATATATATATATATGGGGCCCAAGAATTTTTTTTGCGGGGTGGCCCATTTTTTCTAGTTCCGCCACTGCATAGGCTGCTCCGTTTTATATAAGTCGACATGTTCATTGTATCAATACAAATTGCTGGATCTTTAACTTTAAGAAAGGTCTTAAACACATAATTTTAGTGGGTCTACGACAAATTCCCGAAAAACACTTGCCCGAATGCCGTTTGCCCGAAGGCCGAATTCCCGAATGGACACTTGCCCGAATGCGACAAATGCCCGAATGGACACTTGCCCGAATGCGACAAATGCCCGAATGGACACTTGCCCGAATGGGACAAATGCCCGAATGGACACTTGCCCGAATGCGACAAATTCCCGAATGGACACTTGCCCGAATGCGACAAATGCCCGAATGCCACTTGCCCGAAGGCCGTTTGCCCGAAAAATGTTATCAATAATATATTACCAAATAGTCATTCGTAATCAATTTAAATTTGAAATTTTGATAAACAATACATATATTAACAAAAATAAAGGGAAAATATTTAATATAATATATTAACACGAAGACATTATTAATTAATGTGTATTTAAATAGAGATCAAACATAAAAGACTAACATTAGTTTTTAAATTCGCCGCCTAGGCCCCGCCCCATTCTTTTGTTGAATGATCACCTCACAAGTTTAGCATAACAAGATAAACAAACAAACGCGCCTCTGTTCATTGTTGCGAGACGCCGCTTCCTACACCGTGTCATAAACGTTATAACCCATCGCAACACCTCGGCTACACAAGGTGGTCAAAACTTACACATCAAAAGAATGTTAAGATACCGGCGCCAACATCACCTTACATTTATGAAAGAATAAAGAAATTTTATTACGGCAAGTTCTCATATTAAAATAAACCGGGAGTGATCTCCCCTAAACTTTCTCGAATATTCTTATATAAAATAACAGGGGATGGGAACTCGGGCTATAGACATGATTTTTAATCCATTTTAAATACTTAAAGTTTTAAAAATAGAATAAAATCTCGTAGACAAATTAATTGCACACCAAGTGAACGCCAAATAAAAAAGCGCATAATGGTGCGCAATATTATTATTACTTTTAAAATTTACATTAGTTTTTTGAGAAATCGGAAGTAGCGTAAAGTACTACTTCCAGTCATCGGAAATGACTCAAAATTTGATAGAAGGTAGAGAATTAGATCTTTTACTTACATATGAAATTTCATTTATCTATCTGAAATAGCACTCAAGTTATAGGCTTTTGAAAAATTCAAAGTAGGAAAAGTACCACTTCCGGTTATCGGAAATCGCTCAAAAGTTGATACGGATCTACGATTTTGATAAAATACTTATATATGAAATTTCATCAACCTAGCTGTAACGGTTCTCAAGTTATCGTGTTTACACACGGACAGACAGACACACAGACACACAGACACACAGACAGACACACAGACATACGGACAAGATTGGAAAATTATGTTTTCCGCATCAGTGAGGTGTGAAACGTCGAGATTTGTAAAAATCTCGATTTTTTTTTTTGCACGATTACAAGACTTTCTCTATACTTCGTATATACGAGAAAGTAAAAAAAAAGCTCAATTTTGAAAATATAAACAAATTTGTTTTTATGCTTAAAACTGTGTTGATTATCAAAATTTCAAACTTGAATTGATTATGAATGACTATTTGGTTATATAATTTTTTATGCAGCTTTTACATTTTTTTGGGCAAACGGCCTTCGGGCAAGTGGCATTCGGGCATTTGTCGCATTCGGGCAAGTGTCCATTCGGGCATTTGTCGCATTCGGGCAAGTGTCCATTCGGGCATTTGTCGCATTCGGGCAAGTGTCCATTCGGGCATTTGTCCTATTCGGGCAAGTGACCATTCGGGCATTTGTCGCATTCGGGCAAGTGTCCTCTCTTAGTGTCTATTATGCATATTAGTGAACTAAATGGGTTCAGAAAGTTGAAGGACCTGACTACAATTACCAGCTTGCGAGTTTTGACAGCCATAATAAGTTTCTCAGACCACTTATCGAAATTGGTCTAGTATTATTATGTATCATTCAAGGTTTAAGATACCAAATCGATCGCGATTAATTAATTAAAATTACATGTGGTCAGACGCAGACCTCTTACGTGTGGTCAGCCACAGATAACGCCTGTTCATAGCCCGAGCATACTTGCATCTGTTTCTTAGCATTGTGTGCTGTGCCAACCAGCCAAGCCGATTAGCTTGGGATAGCAACTCATTCTTGTGAGAAAACTCCGAAATCAAACAACTGCTGTCTTGTAGATGTTCGTGGGTGGACAAAGACGATGGAAGAAAAGAGTTAATTGACTATCTTGGGCAGTTTATTTTGATTCGAAATACTACATTGTGTTAAAAGAAAGCCACTTTAGATAGTTAAGTAAAGAACGAAGAAAGAGAAAAAGACTAACTAAATAATTTAACTAAAAAAAAAATATTCTAGGAAACTGAACGACCTCAAGAGTGTGAACCCAACCCTGAGAACCCTGCTCTCTGTGGGGGGACAGAACGATCACGGCACCGGTTTTCTGGCGGTCTCAGAAACCTCTGAAATCTTGGCCAATTTCTCGGCGTCTGCTATTGCTTTTCTCAGAAAACACAGGTTCGATGGTCTAGATCTTGACTGGGAATACCCGAATAGTGACACGAAAGCACAATTTGTTACACTGCTTAAGGTAAATACTGTTTGCGACATTGATACACATAGATGTAGGTTATCTATAATTAATATAATCCCTATTTAGCATAATCCCAAATAAGTATTATTCACAATTCGGAGTACACTATACCTAAACTAAGACATGAGTCGTTAATCTCATAAGCCAGCTCTTTCTCGCTTCACATATTTCTCAGCTTTATTTAAAGTAAAAGTATCCCAAGTAAAGATTATCACAGATTAGAATTACATTAAAAATATTCCATGTAAGCCGTATCCTAATCTGGCATCGCCACAAGCTAAGGCGATCTTTAAAGACGAGAGTATCAAACATTTGATGATTTCACGCATGAGAACATTCTCGAGTTAACATCCTTTCAATCCCATACAATCCGGTGTCTGACAGGGACTACGGACAGCTTTCGACGCGGAACAGCTTCAACCAAACCAAGAACGGCTGCTGCTCACAATCGCAGCTGCAGCTGGTGTCTGGACCATTGACCCCGGCTACGACGTGCCCCAGATCGCTAAGTAGGTCACTGTTCCATGATGTTAAGAATGTCACTGTTCCTTGTTGTAAAGTAATTTACTGTACCTCTATGTTAAGTAGGTCACTGTTCTATAATGCTAAGTAGGTTATTGTACCTCGTTGCTGAGTAGGTCATTACTCCTTTTTGTTTACTAGACCTGTAATTCTTGTTGCTATGTATGTCACTATTTTTGTTATTAAGTAGGTCACTGTTTATTGTTGCACTATCCCATCAGTATCACAGAACATCATTCTGAGAGCACTCATGGCCATTCATACCGATTAGCAGTTATACATTTAGTAACGACCGTTTATTTGTGTATCTCAGTTCAATTAATCTAAAAAATTCATTGAATAGTTATATAAATCAGACTTACCTATTTTATTTGCAAGTAAAATTAGGCAGTACTGACTTAAATTATCCAAAAATGTAAGCAAACAACGTCTGCCTTAGTTAAGGAAATTGTATCTTATTAAAAAGACAACGTCACAAATTTAGTTTTGTAACACGTCCTAAGTAACACATACGTCAATTTAAACCGTCTAGGTACGTGGACTACGTCAATTTGATGACGTATGACTACACCACAGGGGACGCCTCTATCACAGCCTTCAACAGCCCACTCTACTCACGCGGGGACCCGAGGTTCCACCCCACTCTGAGCACGGTATGTAACCAGTGGCGTAACCAGGGGGGGGGGGGCAGTGGGAGCGGGCCCCCACTTTTTCATCCTCTATAAAAGAAAAAAGTATATGATCCTTTTAGACCTGCAATCTATTAGGTAGCTGAAGTAGAGTTAATACGATTCTTGACCTCGGCATATGGAAGGAGTGTGTGATCAGCACCGGGTGGTCACAGGGACGTTCTACTAACTTGGACCCGGATTGGAACTCGACTTTCAGGTTATCAGCCTAGCGCTCTATCGCTTAGGCCATGCCGTCCCCTCCAATCCTCTATACATATTAATCAACCCCTTTTGAAATAAATAATTAGTTGAAATAGAAAGCATTGTCATTTATTTGTACTTTTTATGATGTGAAACACTTTTTCTTTGTGTCAAAATGCGTGTTACAATTATTTTGCTACAGCGCCCAGCGAGATGAGTCGTTGAAGTAACACTATTGCAGCTTTTATTTAGTCTTCCATTCAGAGTTTCTTCCAGGCATCTCTTCGGAGGGGCTACGCCCCCCCCCCCCCCCACCGAAAATTTTTTACCGCCGACCCGAACGAAATGAAATTTATATAATTTATATAGAAAATATATACTTTTAACAGTGTCCGCCCCCCCCCCCCCCCGAAGAAAGTTTACGGCCCCCTCGAAAATTTCAAGTGCCCCCCCCCCCCCCCCCGGAGAAAAAAGTCTCGAAGAAACACTGCTTCCATTTCGCCATTACTTCCTCATAGTAGGCAGTGTCTCCAACTTCAAACAGTTCTCTCTAAATGACCAAACGGATGTATAATAGTGATGAGATACGTGTGTAATGCATCTATTTGTAAACGTATTCAGCTGACGCAAGGAAGATAATACATTGAGTTTAACGATTAATGGGAAGTAACCAAGATAATATTTTCCAGAACTGGACGGTCCATTACTACAAGAGCCTGGGGTTGCCGTACAGCAAGATGCTGGTTGGTGTGACAGGTGTGGGACGCTGGCTGGTGCTAGAAGACAGGAACTACACAGGTGTCGGCTCCAACGTCACGGGGGTCAAGAGGACGAGCCCGGATTATCAAATACCAGCAGGGATGACTTATCCTGAGGTCAAGATAATTAATTAATTAATTACACTTAATTGGGATAAAATAATTTTCAGTAGTTGCAATTTACATTATCAGATTAAAATTATCAGATTAAGATAAGTTTGAGTGATTTTAATTAGCACATAATTAGGTTAATGTAATTTCTATTAGGCCCACATATTTTATTGCTTGTTATTGTCATTAACAAACATGTAGTCAGCTAGTTATCATCATAATGATAAGTATTAACCATTTGTTGGATATTGATACAGAAAACTTGTTTTATAGAACCTCGTTACTAGAATATTTTCTTTAAACAGTAGTGTCAATAATTATTATCTTTAAATCAAATGAATACATTACGGAGCCGATTTTCTAAAAAAAAGTGCTCTTTTATTTATTAAAACGTTTAGTTTAGCATGATAGCTCTGTTGTTCATGTGCCTTACAGATTTGCCGGGTGCTGAAAAACTCAAGCACCGTGCGAGTCTTTGATAACGAGCAGAAGGTGCCTTATCTGGTGAATGACGACAACTGGGTCGGGTACGAAGACACCGAGAGTGTCACGGTCAAGGTCAGTAGCTGCCTGCAGCGATATGTGTGACAGTGTAGTGAAATCTGGCATAAGAAATATTTTTAAAACAATTTTCCATGCCCTGCCGCCCAATTTAAACAGCGTGCCTAGTTATATTTATAAGTAGTACAGACATTTTAAATCTAATTAGATATATTAAATGTGTTATTCAAATTGCATTTAGAGATAACCATTTTTAATAAGAAAAAAGGGAGGTAATAATATAAAAGCTACCACCTAATTAAATAAAATCACCCAATTATAAAAGTGTTCGGTTTTTTAATAGCAATGCTAATAGTTTATTCTAGATCAATATTTGATGTATGCAAAATTAGCAACAAAACATTTGGTATTAACACAATTCAATCATCTCAGATAAAATATGTAATTTTTTTAAACAGTAAGATAATACATTAACAATTGCTTACTTCAATGGAAAAACCGAAATATACATTTGCTAGTGATCTTCTATATATAGGAATTTATTGTATTCGTCTTATACAAAAAAAAAGAGAGAAAAAAAAAGAAAAACAAATTCGTCTTATACAGTATCTGTGTAAACATTCAAGTCAATGTGATGGCACTATCTTAAGACGTAAGTCAATACGCTGCCCCAATCATTGTGTTCAATCTTGTCATAGTGTTGCCCCAATCATTGTGTTCAATCTTGTCATAGTGTTGCCCCAATCATTGTGTTCAATCATGTCATAGTGTTGCCCCAATCATTGTGTTCAATCTTGTCATAGTGTTGCCCCAATCATTGTGTTCAATCATATCATAGTGTTGCCCCAATCATTGTGTTCAATCTTGTCATAGTGTTGCCCCAATCATTGTGTTCAATCTTGTCATAGTGTTGCCCCAATCATTGTGTTCAATCTTGTCATAGTGTTGCTCCAATCATTGTGTTCAATCTTGTCATAGTGTTGCCCCAATCATTGTGTTCAATCATGTCATAGTGTTGCCCCAATCATTGTGTTCAATCATGTCATAGTGTTGCTCCAATCATTGTGTTCAATCTTGTCATAGTGTTGCCCCAATCATTGTGTTCAATCATGTCATAGTGTTGCCCCAATCATTGTGTTCAATCATGTCATAGTGTTGCCCCAATCATTGTGTTCAATCATATTATAGTGTTGCCCCAATCATTGTGTTCAATCTTGTCATAGTGTTTCCTCAATCATTGTGTTCAATCATATTATAGTGTTACCCCAATCATTGTGTTCAATCTTGTCATAGTGTTACCTCAATCATTGTGTTCAATCTTGTCATAGTGTTGCCCCAATCATTGTGTTCAATCTTGTCATAGTGTTGCTCCAATCATTGTGTTCAATCTTGTCATAGTGTTGCCCCAATCATTGTGTTCAATCATGTCATAGTGTTGCCCCAATCATTGTGTTCAATCATGTCATAGTGTTGCTCCAATCATTGTGTTCAATCTTGTCATAGTGTTGCCCCAATCATTGTGTTCAATCATGTCATAGTGTTGCCCCAATCATTGTGTTCAATCATGTCATAGTGTTGCCCCAATCATTGTGTTCAATCATATTATAGTGTTGCCCCAATCATTGTGTTCAATCTTGTCATAGTGTTTCCTCAATCATTGTGTTCAATCATATTATAGTGTTACCCCAATCATTGTGTTCAATCTTGTCATAGTGTTACCTCAATCATTGTGTTCAATCTTGTCATAGTGTTGCCCCAATCATTGTGTTCAATCTTGTGATAGTGTTACCCCAATCATTGTGTTCAATCATATTATAGTGTTACCCCAATCATTGTATTCAATCATATCTTAGTGTTGCCCCAATCATTGTGTTTAATCCACAGACCCAGTGGATGATGGATATCGGTGTAGCTGGCGTCATGTTCTGGTCCCTGGATCAAGACGACTTCAGTGGGACGGTAGGGAGACCTTATTAACATATGTGTAGGGAGACTTTATTAACATATGTGTAGGGAGACTTTATTAACATATGTGTAGGGAGACTTTAATAACATATGTGTAGGGAGACTTTATTAACATATGTGTAGGGAGACTTTATTAACATATGTGTAGGGAGACTTTATTAACATATGTGTAGGGAGACTTTATTAACATATGCGTAGGGAGACTTTATTAACATATGTGTAGGGAGACTTTATTAACATATGTGTAGGGAGACTTTATTAACATATTTGTAGGGAGACTTTATTAACATATGTATAGGGAGACTTTATTAACATATGTGTAGGGAGACTTTATTAACATATGTGTAGGGAGACTTTATTAACATATGTGTAGGGAGACTTTATTAACATATGTGTAGGGAGACTTTATTAACATATGTGTAGGGAGACTTTAATAACATATGTGTAGGGAGACTTTATTAACATATGTGTAGGGAGACTTTATTAACATATTTGTAGGGAGACTTTATTAACATATGTATAGGGAGACTTTATTAACATATGTGTAGGGAGACTTTATTAACATATGTGTAGGGAGACTTTATTAACATATGTGTAGGGAGACTTTATTAACATATGTGTAGGGAGACTTTATTAACATATGTGTAGGGAGACTTTAATAACATATGTGTAGGGAGACTTTATTAACATATGTGTAGGGAGACTTTATTAACATATGTGTAGGGAGACTTTATTAACATATGTATAGGGAGACTTTATTAACATATGTGTAGGGAGTCTTTATTAACATATGTATAGGGAGACTTTATTAACATATGTGTAGGGAGACTTTATTAACATATGTGTAGGGAGACTTTATTAACATATGTGTAGGGAGACTTTATTAACATATGTGTAGGGAGACTTTATTAACATATGTGAAGCTAGGGGAGTGGGGCGGTAGGGAGACTTTATTAACATATGTGTAGGGAGACTTTATTAACATATGTGTAGGGAGACTTTATTAACATATGTGTAGGGAGACTTTATTAACTTATGTGTAGGGAGACTTTATTAACATATGTGTAGGTAGACTTTATTAACATATGTGTAGGGAGACTTTATTAACTTATGTGTAGGGAGACTTTATTAACTTATGTGTAGGGAGACTTTATTAACATATGTGTAGGGAGACTTTATTAACTTATGTGTAGGGAGACTATTAACATATGTGTAGCTAGGGTAGTGGGGCGGTAGGGAGACTTTATTAACATATGTGTAGGGAGACTATTAACATATGTGTAGGGAGACTTTATTAACATATGTGTAGGGGGACTTTATTAACATATGTGTAGGGGGACTTTATTAACATATGTGTAGGGAGACTTTATTAACATATGTGTAGGGAGACTTTATTAACATATGTGTAGGGAGACTTTATTAACCTATGTGTAGGGAGACTTTATTAACATATGTGTAGGGAGACTTTATTAACATATGTGTAGGGAGACTTTATTAACCTATGTGTAGGGAGACTTTATTAACATATGTGTAGGGAGACTTTATTAACATATGTGTAGGGAGACTTTATTAACATATGTGTAGGGAGACTTTATTAACATATGTGTAGGGAGACTTTATTAACATATGTGTAGGGAGACTTTATTAACATATGTGTAGGGAGACTTTATTAACATATGTGTAGGGAGACTTTATAAACATATGTGTAGAGAGACTTTATTAACATATGTGTAGGGAGACTTTATTAACATATGTGTAGGGAGACTTTATTAACATATGTGTAGGGAGACTTTATTAACATATGTGAAGCTAGACCGGACGGGGCTGGATAATTTGACTAATTAGTCCATGAATAATTCAAATTTTAATTAGTATTATAGTAACCGAAGCTGAATATTATAACATTTGTAAATTACGTGTCCTAAAAATAAAATAGTCCACATAATTAACTGACCACATGTCAACATAATTAACTGACCATAATTACTTATCACACGTTCACAAAATTAACTAATCAGATGACCAAATAATTAACTAAACACAGGTCAATCTAATTAAATAATTATGTGTCCAAATAATTCAATAATAACATGTCTACAAAGATAACTAACCATATGTCCACATAATTAACAAATCTATATTAACTGACCATATGTACGTATAATTATCTGACCACATTTAACTAATACATCACATATCTACATAATTAACTGACCACAGGTCCACATAATTAACTAACCTCATATCCAAATAATTAACTAACCAGATACCCACATAATTAACTGACCACATAATTAACTGACCACATATCCACATAATTAACTGACCACATGTCCACATAATTAACTGACCACATGTACACATAATTAATTGACCACATATCCACATAATTAACTGACCTCATATCCACATAATCAACTGACCACCTGTCCACATAATTAACTGACCACCTGTCCACATAATTAACTGACCTTATATTCACATAATTAATTGACCACATAATTAACTGACCACATATCCACATAATTAACTGACCACATATCCACAGTTCTGTGGCCAGGGAAAGTTTCCGTTACTGAACACCGTGAAAACGCTGAGTGGAAAAGACGAGATCAGCTCAACCACGAACCCAACCCTGAACCCTCAATTGAACACAACTACGAACCCTAACCAAGGCTTTACACTGAACACCACCATGAACCCAACCACACCCCCAAAACCGAGTCAGCCATTGACTACAACCATTAAAACGAAAAACACCGGTCACCCAATTATAATACCAACCGGCTTGATTGCGATATTCACTATTCTATACACCCTCCTGTTGTAGATAAATACTCATAAAATCACATAGCCAAGAATGTACTCAACATGTTGATATTTTTATTAATTGCTCAAATTTTAATAAATTATTAGGCGATTTTTTTATGGTATTACAGATTATGCTCAATAAATATAGCAGCATTAAAGATTTTGAATTATCAGTAATTAAACTTGATTATTTTTTTGACATTTTGTTTTTTTATATAGCGCCATTTTCATAACAATCTCGTTTTAAATTTAAAATTGTTTTTAACGAACAATGCAAATGTTTATGCCACTTAAATAAACACTTTAAAAAATTTCAAAATTATATACGTCTTATTGAATTTGATTTGTATTGGTTTTTTTTTTTAATTTTTATGGTAAAAATGATCACTAGATTGTTTGCGTTTGTATACATTATATATATATATATATATATATATATATATATATATATATATATATATATATATATGTATATATATATACACACCAATAATTGTTTTCGCGTCTAGGTGTATGTTTAGCGTGTTTATTGGAGTTGTTAATGTTTGAAATGGAAATAGAAGGAAGAATTCAATAAAGCTGCCTTGTGTTGCTGTAGTTAAGATCACAGTCAGATGCCATACTCCATGTTGTGTTGCTGAAGTTAAGATCACAGTGAGATGCCATATTCCATGTTGTGTTGCTGTAGTTAAGATCACAGTGAGATGCCATACTCCATATTGTGTTGCTGTAGTTAAGGTCACAGTGAGATGCCATACTCCATGTTGTGTTGCTGTAGTTTAGCCATGTTGTGTTGTTGTAGTTAAGATCACAGTGAGATGCCATACTCCATGTTGTGTTGCTGTAGTTAAGATCACAGTGAGATGCCATACTCCATGTTGTGTTGCTGTAGTTAAGATCACAGTGAGATGCCATACTCCATGTTGTGTTGCTGTAGTTAAGATCACAGTGAGATGCCATACTCCATGTTGTGTTGCTGTAGTTAAGATCACAGTGAGATGCCATACTCCATGTTGTGTTGCTGTAGTTAAGATCACAGTGAGATGCCATACTCCATGTTGTGTTGCTGTAGTTTAGCCATGTTGTGTTGCTGTAGTTAAGATCACAGTGAGATGCCATAGGCCTACTCCATGTTGTGTTGCTGTAGTTAAGATCACAGTGAGATGCCATACTCCATGTTGTGTTGCTGTAGTTAAGATCACAGTGAGATGCCATACTCCATGTTGTGTTGCTGTAGTTTAGCCATGTTGTGTTGCTGTAGTTAAGATCACAGTGAGATGCCATACTCCATGTTGTGTTGCTGTAGTTAAGATCACAGTGAGATGCCATAGGCCTACTCCATGTTGTGTTGCTGTAGTTAAGATCACAGTGAGATGCCATACTCCATGTTCTCCCACAGATGTGTGACCTGGGGAAGTTTCCACTCATGTCTGCGGTCAGGTCCATCAGTTCACCACGAGAAATATCGACCAAATCTCCGGAACCATCATATACGCCAAGTAAGATTCTAGTTGCGACATGGAATTCAATCATCAATAGCAGAGCCGTGTTCCTTGAAGCCTACCCTTAGTTCTTGGAACCTAAACTTAATTTTTAGCGCCTACCTTTAGTTCTTGGATCCCCAACTTAACTCTTGGCGCCTACCTTTATTTTTTGGAGCCTACCCTTATTTCTTTGAGCCTGCCCTTAGCTTTTGGAGCCTACCGTTACATTTTGGAGCTTAATTTAATTCTTGGAGCTCACCCTATTAGATTCTAGTATTTTTCAGCCTAATTTTAGAGTATACCCTTATCAAACCTATCATTTTAACCAATTTCTTTAGAGATACTTTGGGAAACTTTTTTAAACTGACCCCTTTAAAAAAATCTCTTTGATCGATTCTTGATCCTATGATTCGAACTTTACATTCAACCAAATACTTCCAAGCTACAAATAATCATTTCGAGAAAAAAATGTGTTAATGTAGATCAATTAAGATAATCTTATATGAACTTATTAAGGTAAAATGTAACGAAGTCTTGTATATTTGTAATCCTTAACTAGCCAAGTTTTATAAACTTCCCAACTACAACATAGATCAACATTATAATCCCTCTCTACCTCTCGGCTTGTCGTCCCACCCAGATCCGAACCTGCTCCGTCTGTGCTACTTCCCAAACTGGACCAACACCAGAAGGTCGAACATGTCCAAGTTTGATGTGCAGGACATTGACCCCTCCATCTGTACTCACCTGGTCTACGCCTTTGGTTACCTGAGCGACCAAACGTTTCAACTGGTTGCAGAGTGGCCATTGTATGAGGAGTTGACAGGGGGGCGTTATCAGTAGGTTTAGCTCAGTTTAGTAGGTTCACTAGACTTTGGTAGGTTCATATAACTCGTATATGTTCATCTGACTTCAGTGGGTATACAAGACTTAAGTGTGTTTACATGACTCCAGTAGATTTATATGACTCCCATAGGGTTTCCATGACTCCGGTAGGTTCATATGACTCCGGTATGTTTACATCTTTCGAATATGTTCACATGACTCCAAAAGTTTACGCTAATCCATTAGGTTTATATGACTCCTGTAGGTTCACATGACTCATGTAGTTTCACCTGACTCCAGTAGGTTTATATGACTCCTTTAGATTAATATGAATCCAGTTGGTTGACATGACTCATGTAGGTTTATATAACTTCGGTAGTTTCACATGACTCCTGTAGATTCACATGACTCCAGTATGTTTATATGACTCAGCTAAAATTAATACAACTTCAATTGCTTTACACGCTTCAAATCCTTTTTTGACATTATTTAGGGTAAAACATCAAAACAGATGGGTGTAGCGCACCTAGGTTTTCTCGATTCTTGTGAGTTTAAAAAAGGATAGGTTTACATCAAGTCTGTTTCCAATGCAGTGTTTACGTTGTGTGTTGTAGAAAGCTGAACGAGCTAAAGAAGGTCAACCCTCAACTACAAACTCTAATCTCTCTGTACATACGCGAGAAGCATGTATATATAGTCACGAAGATAGCCGGCACTAAACAAGGCCTGGAGAACTTTGCCAACTCCACGGTAATGTTTCTCAGAAAACATGGATTCAACGGCCTTGACATTGATTGGCAGTATCCAGCAAGGGGTAATGAGCAGGTGTTTCTCAGAGTGCTACAGGTGGGTCATTATGGTGATACATGTGGGTCATTAATGTGTTAGAGGTGGATCATTAATGTGCTTCAGGCGGGTCATTAATGTGTTACAGGTGGGTCATTAATGTGTTAGAGGTGGATCATTAATGTGCTTCAGGTGGGTCATTAATGTGTTACATGTGGGTAATTAATCTGTAACAGATGGGTCATTAATGAGTTATAGCTTAGTTTATAATGTGCTACATGTAAATCCTTAATGTCAACTCATTAATCATGGCGTCTTCTGATCTCATAAAAAAATATAACGTCAGCAGATGTCGTCACACAAAAATGACGTCATGACAGGTCAGCAAACAAAAGTGACGTTATTATATATCCCATCACAAATAAGTCGCTATCCTACATCACATCACACAGATGACTTATATCTAAGAAACGTGATGTTTTCAACATTATAAAACTTTGTGTAAGTGATGTTTAAACTAAGCTCCAAACTCTAAAGTTCCAACTCAACTTTCAGTCTCTGAGATCTGCCTTCAACTCTGAAGTCCTGCAGACAAACCAAGGGCGGCTACTGCTTACAGTCACAGCTGCCGCAGCTAAGTGGAATATCAACCCCAGCTTTGACTATCCCCAGTTAGCCAGGTAAGTCTAAAACAACCAGTAACTGACAGGTCAACAGTTTTAAGGTTTTACAACAGTGTTCAGATACGTCCGCTTGTTAAAGAGCTAGGGTAAAATTTATCTAGATGCGGAGGGTATTTTTGTGAGCCGTTGTTAGGAAAAGTTAGATTGTATTTTGTCATGTGTCAAAAGATGAAAATATGGACACTGACCTACTGAACACAGACCTACTGAACACTGAACACTGACCTACTGAACACTGACCTACTGAACACTGACCTACTGAACACTGACCTACTGAACACTGACCTACTGAACACTGACCTACTGAACACTGAACACTGACCTACTGAACACTGACCTACTGAACACTGAACTACTGAACACTGACCTTATGAACACTGAACACTAACCTACTGAACACTGACCTACTGAACACTGACCTACTGAACACTGACCTATTGAACACTGACCTACTGAACACTGACCTACTGAACACTGACCTACTGAACACTGACCTACTGAAGACTGACACTCGGTTTGTAGACGTCTAGAATCAGATACGTCCGTTGATTCACGGTGTTCTGACCTGTCCACCCCTCCCCCTACAGCCCAGAAAAAAAAAATGGTATTGCAATGTATTCTCATTCCGGCTTAAAAATTCACCATCCAGGTACGTTGATTACGTCAGTTTGTTGACGTATCACTATACAGCAGCAGATTCTCGCGTGGCAGCATTCAACAGCCCGCTGTTCTCTAGACAAGATCCTAACTTTAACCAAGAACTTAGCACGGTAAGGTGGTCTAGACAAGATCCTAACTTTAACCAAGAACTTACATCGGTAAAGTGGTCTAGAAACGATCCTAACTTTAACCCAACGCTAAGCACGGTAAGATGGTCTAGACAAGATCCTAACTTTAACCAAGAACAAAGCACGGTAAGCTGGTCTAGACAAGATCCAAACTTTAACCAAGAACTTAGCACGGTAAGATGGTCTAGACAAGATCCTAACTTTAACCAAGAACAAAGCACGGTAAGCTGGTCTAGACAAGATCCAAACTTTAACCAAGAACTTAGCACGGTAAGATGGTCTAGACAAGATCCTAACTTTAACCCAACGCTAAGCACGGTAAGATGGTCGCTTACCTTGTTACCCTCGTTGACCCTGTACAACAACATACACGTCAACACATCCGGCTTCACTCTACAATACTACGGAGTACACACACACAGAGTCAGCCGCCCCCGTACACACCTTTCATACACAACACATCATCACAATGTTCATGTCTTTTTTTTTACTTAAAATCTATATCTAGTTGCAAAATGCTGTATTTTTCAGTCAAAATATATTTAGCACATTATAATGACTTTGACTATATAAAATGTTGACAAAGGCGTGTCCTCATATGATTTAGACTATATAAAAATGTTGACTTATATGATATCAGCATCATGTAAATTTGACCCGGCTATTCCAGAACTGGACTGTCCACTACTACAACAGCCTGGGTCTGCCCTTCCATCAGATGCTGGTGGGGGTGACAGGGGAGGGACGCAGGCTGGTCCTCCAGGACAAGATGTCCTATGGCGTGGGGTCAAATGTCACTGGTGAGGCGAGGACCAGTGAGGACTATGGGATTTTGGCGGGTATGGCGTACCCCGAGGTAAGTGGTGTATGGTCGGTAATGTGGGAGGTGTGTGGTGTGTGTGGTCGGTAATGTGGGAGGTGTGTGGTGTGTGTGGTCTGTAATGTAGGGAGGTGTGTGGTTAAGGGGGGGGGGTACTAGATGTCTTGGCCATGTATGGGAAATATACAGGAATGCATGTGTAATGCAGGTGTGTTTGGGAAATAGTAAATGACATGTGTTAAATAGGACCATGACTTTCTGTATGTTGATCAATTTGTGGAAGAAAAACGGTTACCAGTATTGGTGAGCTCGTATTAATATAATCACTTATTCAAACCCCCCCCCCCCCTTTCCCCAACCAATTAGATATGCCGGATGAGTATGACGTCATCAACCAAAAGTTACTTTGATGAGCAGCAGCAGGCACCCTATATGGTGAGCGGGGACGACTGGGTTGGGTACGAGAACCCCAGGAGTATTGCAATCAAGGTCAGTAAATAATTAAATGTGTTTTAATTAGCCGCTATCCATGCGTACCATCTAGCATTATCGCGCTTCCATAAAGTCATGCGTCGAGAGATGATGACCTTTTACTTATTTTAAAGTATGACCTCAACTGTCACACATGTCAGGGTCTTAATTTTGTGACTTGACCAGTTATATAGTGTCGGCGATGAGTGTTATTAAACGTGTTATATATCCGATGGATATGATCTAATCCACAGACCAAGTGGATGATGGATATCGGTGTTGCTGGCGTCATGTTCTGGTCCGTGGATCAAGACGACTTCAGTGGGACGGTAGGGAGACCTAAATATTGTATTATCCTTATACCATACGATATATTATATGCTATATCTCGTCTCACATATTGGAGTTTTCTTAAGAAAACATGTCTAGTACGACTAAGAAAGAGCTCTGTTTATGGTAGATCTATCAGTCTACTGGTCTGTAGCGTATGTTAAGGTCATGTTAAATGTCTGTTTGACTTGACTTCTTGTGTGTCCGCAGTACTGTGGAGAGGGGAAGTTTCCTCTACTTAACACCATCAAAACCCTGGCTGGAGGAAACCAGATGAACCCAACCCCGAGCCCATCCAAGCAGAAAAATGGGAGTTATAGCGTCGTACAGTCTACCGGCTTGATTGTGATATGTGGTGTTTTATACAACATTTTGCTATAGCCGACAATCAAATTTTACACATGACAATCATCTTTTATATATGACAATCAAATGTTACACATCGGAAACAAATGTTTTACATGGCAAGCAATTGTTAACTGTTATACATGACAATCATCTGTTATACATCCTGTTATAATTACCGACCTTATTGTTTCACTAACAACCACATTTTTTTATAGCCGACAGTTTTCTGTTAAACTTGTTTTCTCTGTGCTATATCTGTGATAACCTCTTGTTCTATTTACCAACCTATTTTTATATCTGCCTACAGCCTATACAGCTAATTTTCCTATGTGGTTGACACTATTTATTTCGACGTCTTTCACCAATGAAACCACTATGAAATCCATCTCCACCAATCCCACAGGGTAATTGTTTCATTGTATAACATATTATATACAGTATTTATATTGGTATGTATAGGTCCGATCACACACAGTCACATAATTAACGCCTTTATGATGGTCCTCTGGATAAATTCTATTTTATTTTTCAAAAAGTGACTAAGACTTACATCGCTGTATCTTTATCTCATCCAACCCTATCACAAACTGCACAATTCATTATCAAGCGGGTTAAAAGACGGTTTATTGTGTTTTTTTAATTATATGCAGGACGGCTGTTATATGGTCATTTTATACCACACGGCAAATGACTTTTCTATTTCACAATTTAATATAATCAGATGAATACGGAAACCTAACTAGACTTGAAACTTTGTTTACACATTAATAAGCCGTCTTATTGTTTTGATGACAATTTAACTAGCGAACTCCATTCAAATTAAAAGAAAGAAAAAATCACCAATTTGCTTTTGTTTTCTTTTTTTTAATAAAGTTAGAGGGTCAATACTGTTTGAATAGCCCGTAATTGTTTTTTTTTTTTTAGAAAAATATATAAACAAGAGAATTACCTGCTTCGGGGAAATCACTTCATTAATATCTAATGTTTACATCAAAATAGACTCAATAAATAGATCTACCTTGTTGAAACGTTTCACATAAAATTAATTTAATTTCTAAATTTATTATTAAACCATTTTAATACAAAAACAATATCAGTGGATCAGAAAATATTATACGTTATAGTAAAATTTTCGTGGAAAACATCGCATTTTCATTTTCTACAATATTCAGACCCCCCGGCCGCTGGAAATTCCCACGTGAAGTTCTGCTGTGTAATTAAATCATAAGCTTGGTTATTCAATGTACTAAATAATTTTATTATATCAAAATTTAAATAAACACAAATCAAGGTACATAAAATGTTTATTTCATATATTTTTTTTCTTTAAACAAATGAACACTCACCATAACCTCATCTACATTGACTAGAAGATACTACTGAGTCGGATTTCTTTCATCCATCGAGATCTCGTATTCCTTAACCACTTCAATATCAACAATAAAATACAGTTTCAAAACCAAGTTTAATAATAAAAGTATGAAGGATAAGTAATATGAACACGATGTCTGAGTTTGCATGAGCAAAAGTGGACAATGAAACTAGATTTAACTTCATGTAAATTATTGCTGGCATTAATTGGAATTTTGACTTTATGTTTATATTTAAAATTTCCACAGCATCTTTATATTTAAAGCAAATAAACAATATTAGGAAAATGTTTATACAGTGTGATACATTTAATAATTTGAAAGCATGTTTGAACGGGGTCTCAGAAGAACTAAGTATGACTAGATATAATGCTTTCTTCTTAAGCATTTTATAAAACGTTTGTAAATATATATATATATATATATATATATATATATATATATATATATATATATATATATATATATATATATATATATATATATATATAAATTACGAAGATTATCATCACATAACAACAACTATTGTGTACGATTGAGATCTATAATTAAAGTTGAAATTCACATTTCTCTCATAAATAATGTTCAAATCCATAAAAAAGCAGTATAATGATATCTATGATAAGTTAACTGTCATTAATTATAGTCATGTTTTCTTAAAAATAAATTTAAATTAAATGTGACTAGTAGACTATACTTTTGGGCAAACACGGATGAGTTATTTTAGACATTAACCCTAACTAGGTTAAACACACATATCTGAAACACATGAAACCAAGCGTAGCAATGGGTTAAAAGTTATACAAGAAAACTGCAACACTACTATTTCTAAACACACAACCATCAGTTAAAAATTGTTTTCACATATTCCAATTTTAAAACAACAGAAAAACCTTAACCATGCCGGGTCTAGAAACTGGGAAGGCCTAAATACCGCACCACCTGACTTAACGTACCGTTTCACAATCCAGTTGACAGTCTATGAAGTCGGCCTGCCATACTAAAAAATACAGAGGTGAACATACACTGACGAATCAGTCCAGCACACCTGTCTAAATACTGCTATTCCAGTACAGGCCATGTAACATTTAAAGATGATGGAAAACAATTCCTAATGTCGTATGACTAAACACCTTTGACCAAACATTAAACTACGCCTCCTTCCATTGATTGGTTAGTTAATTGAAAATACTTCCATTGATTAATTAGTTGATTGAAAATACTTCCATTGATTGGTTAGTTGAATGCTTATGTACAACATTGTACTAACAGTAAAACGTATCAACTGATAATCAGCATTAACGACGAAACTATTCATCCATAACATCAAATTAAAAAATCAACCATAACTATAAAACACACTGACCTTAAGGCCTTAAAGACTGCATAAATCTGCTATGAAGATTCAATAGCCATAACAACAACAAAAAATCAGACAACTGAGATCAAATAAGTCAGGCACCCAATAGTGACGTCAACAACCAGCGTTGAGCAGCCGTTTCTTGTAGACTTGGTGGCTGTTAGAATTGTGGTTGGCGAGTGTGGTTGGTGTGGAGGTGTGGTAGCCAGGTTTAAAGTTGGGTCAGTCTTGACAGTGACCTCAGGAGAGGGGAAGCTATCGAAGACTTTTTTAGCAGCATTAAGGAGAGGGAACCGTTCCCCTTGACAATACTGGAACAAACGAGATTTGAAAGGATAAATTTACCGCATTATGACTATGAAATGCTAGAAATTACACATGTATTATACAATGCCAAAAATATTATACACCCAAAATTTTAAATAATGGAAGTTGTCTACTATAAAAAAATAGAGCTAACCAACCTTCCCGCTGAAGTCGTCTTGATCCAACGACCACATCATAATGCCAGCCACGCCCAGGCTTCTAGTCCATTTAGCCTGTGGAGAGTTACATCTATAATTAGATTAGAGCGCATGGTAAGTTGTGTGGTCATAGGTCACCTGACTATGTTGAGTGACAGTGAGTAGTAAATTATGAATTCTTGGGATAGACTCTTGCTATTTTGTAAATGTATTCTTTTTGGCGGGTAAGGAAGGAGAATAAACACAGTTTGAGGCTACGTGTTTAGTTAGATACATATTTAAAGGCGTGTGGTTGTTGGAGAGTTTGTTGGAGTAGATCAAGATCTTCCGTTTTTTTTCTTCTCAATCTCTCGTATAATAACTGGAATGTGTGGTCAACATTTGGAATTATCGTCTCTACATTCCCAACTGAATATGGGTATGAATTAGAGCTGAGTAAACTCTTATCTTTCTACGATCTCCTTCAATGAAGTCAAATTTATTCAACAAGATGCTTCAAATAAAAAAAATGAAAAAAAAATACAACAAAACTTCTCTAGTTAAAGACCTGAAATAACGTATTAACATTCATAAAAAAAAATCAGGGTCAGATAACATGACCTTGAACTTACCTTGATGCGGACACTCTCGGGGTCCTCGTACCCTACCCAGTTGTTACCCCACACCAGGTACGGGGACTTCTGTACGTCATCGAAGTAACGTCTGGCACCAGGCTGTCTCTTGACGACTAGACAGATCTGTAAGGCAGGGGTAGAAGGTTGCATCACAGGAGAACAAATGTTGCAATATAATTGTAAAACAAAATGTTACATGATTGGTGTGAAAAGGCAAGAAAACAGGAGTAAATGATTGTATAATGTAATAATTAGACGAATGTAGATGATGATCACTCATCAATTCTACACACAAGATTTACAAATATTTCAAGGTATAAAAAATGTTAATTTATATCAAGTTATGATCACAAACCAAATTCACTACAGTAAAAGACACATTCACTATAGGTCATTTTTAATGTATGTTTTAGTCTAATTAAGCAACCTAATTAGATTTGAGTCTGATTGGGTGACCTACCTCAGGGTAGGTCATACCGTTCACCAGCTGATAGTGACTGCTAGTCTGCCTCTGCCGAGTGGTTTTCGAACCCACACCAAAGGCATTTTCATCTTCCAGCGTCAACCAACGACCAACCCCGGTAATGCCAAGCACCATTTGAGAGAAGGGCAGGCCCAGCTCTTTGTAGTAGTGGACAGTCCAGTTCTGGAAATGTCGAAATAAATTGTAAAATCCTCCAGTTACTAAGTGAACTTGTGCGCTAGAGAAGTGAACTTGTGTGCTAGAGAAAGAACGTGTGTGCTAGAGAAGTGAACTTGTGCGCTAGAGAAGTGAACTTGTGCGCTAGAGAAGTGAACGTGTGTGCTAGAGAAAGAACGTGTGTGCTAGAGAAGTGAACTTGTGCGCTAGAGAAGTGAACTTGTGCGCTAGAGAAGTGAACTTGTGCGCTAGAGAAGTGAACGTTTGTGCTAGAGAAGTGAACGTGTGTGCTAGAGAAGTGAACGTGTGTGCTAGGAAGTCTCACCGTGCTAAGTGTGGGGTCAAACCTGACGTCAGGTGTTGAGAACAGCGGGCTGTTGAATGCTGTGACGTTGGCGTCCTGTGACGTGTAGTCATACGTCATTATGTTGACGTAATCCACATACCTGCCATAACAACAACAGTGACGACACATCAATTTTAGAGACAGAGAGATCCACACATAGAAAAAGACAGAGAGATTCTAATCAACAAGACACTAAGACAGACGATAGAACAAATAAAGACAAGACAGAAAGCCGGTTAAACCTACTTGGCTATTTCTGGAATGTCAAACCCGGGGTCAATGAACTGTCGTCCGGCTGGTGCCGCTATGGTCAGCAGCAGACGAGCCTGTCTTGTGTGGGCAGACTCCACGTCAAACCTAGACCGCAGCATCTAAAGTGCAATTAGAATTCACGCAGTGGTCAAAGATTCGTTGCAAGTCGAATATATTTATACATTTGGAATCCATCTCATTAATATCTTTAAATTGGAATTAAAGTTCTAAATCTTGGAATGTTAAAACTATAACTATACACATTAGGTATCATTGTCAAAACTTTCCCTTCTTTTCATAAAGTAGCAATTTTGCTACAAAGTAAAATATCTACCCATAACTTTAATTTAGACAACATTTACAAATTAGAAATTTGAATAAACTGTATTTATGCAAGATTTCCTTTCAAGCACAATCATACAGGAAAACGACTACAGGCGTGTTTAAACGCACACAATCTGACCTTGAGCAAAAACGCGTAGGTATCCTTTGTATGACTGTTCGGGTATTCCCAGTCTATATCCAGGCCATCAAAGCCGAATTTTCTGAGAAACAGGATGGTCGAGTCGGCAAACGCCTCGGCTATTTCTTCCGACTGGCTGACTGATGTGAATCCTGCGCCATGTTCCTGCTGACCCCCCAGAGAGAGAAGCGTCTTCAGGCCTGGGTTGGACCTCTTCAGTTCGTTAAACTTACTGGGGATTGGTTAACGCTAAAATTACTAAGGAGAAGGGAGTAGTTAACTTTAAACTTAATTGGGAGAAGTTAAACGTACTCGAGATTAGTTAACACTAAACTAACTGGTGATTATATGTTGTTTGAAGTTACACTTTTATGACCTTTATACGACAATTGCGCCTATACGGTATAGGTTAGACCGCCTACACTTTACGCTGCCTTGTAAATATAGAATTTCAATAATCATTAATTATCTTAACAGGGTATGAAAATCATTGCTCAATATACTTAGACAATTTGGAATGATAAACTTAGTAATCAAAAATAATTTATAATTTTTCGGAATTACTTCATTTATAACTTCAAAATGTTTAAGGGAAATAACCTATGGCTTTGTTAATTTAAATTAAACATAATTGTAAAGAAATTCAATAGATGCAAAGTGGGAAAGACTTTCATCACATATTTTAAAAATAAACGTACGTTTAAATATTTGTGTATGAAACTTTGTCAATTATGTATGTTTCCTTGATATTAAAATTGTAAAATTTCCGTAATTTAAGAATTAAAACCCTTAGCAGTTATTAATGCATAATTTTTTAAGATGTAAAATTTTAATTTAAAAAAGTATTGCAACATTTTCGCTTATCTGTTATTATTCACTTTCTATTCGTGGTTTCTCTAAGATAATAAGAATTTAGCTAATTAGGATTTCTTTTTGAAACTTTGTGTGTGTTTCTATTTACATTTTATACATTGTAAGTACTTTTTCTTTTTTATTTCTTGTTTGTGTTGCCAGGCCCCGTGTGAGCCTCACGCTCAACTATGTCGGAAAAATACATTAAACGGCTATTCTTGCCTAAGTTTGGCTAGGCAGGACATGCGCCAAAAACTAGACATTTTCATAGAAGCGGGATTTTCTTTGGCTACTCTCATAAAAAGAGCTATGTATGTTATGCAGCCTATCACCAGCTGAATTTGAAGGTCTGTATAACTATGGGACACTGCGTAAATAGTATGTCACCATTAGATCAAAGGACCTATATGAGAAAATGCACCTAAAGGAATTTCACAGAGATTTGCCACCTGGGGTGAGTTGGGTCTGGCAGGGGATTAGGAAAATTGTGTGACAAGCAGGCAACAACAAGGTGGCAGAAACACACTGTTTAGAAACTTCATATGAAACACCTTGATACAGCAACCGTTACATAGCTAATCTAAACACCTTGATACAGCCACCGTTACATAGCTAATCTAAACACCTTGATACAGTCACCGTTACATAGCTAATCTAAACACCTTGATACAGCCACCGTTACATAGCTAATCTAAACACCTTGATACAGTCACCGTTACATAGGACCGTTACCATCACCACCAGACCCACACCTTCTACATGCTACCAGCCACACCAACATACTTGTAAAATACCACGGGGAGAAGGGGTGCTGAAGGCAGCGTATAGGATCCATACAACATCCACACCACGCAGCATACAACTACAGACTAGCAAACAAACGCTAATTGAGTTTCGTCTAGACCGCAAACAAACTTGCACCTATATCTACCTATAGCAAACCCACCTGCAGTAACAATCAGTAAGCAAAGCAGGTAGATGGCATTCCTACATGTGCATGCATATATATATATATATATACATATATATATATATATATATATATATATATATATATATATATATGTATATATATATATATATATATATATATATATATATATATATATATATATATATATATATATATATATATATATATGTATATATATATATATATATATATATATATATATATATATATATATATATATATAGTAAGATAACATTTGTTATGACGGTTCTAACACCCTCGACTAGCTGCCACCAACTTCCACAGTCAACCCACCTATACATACAACCACCGACACAGTCAACCCACCTATACATACAACCACCGACACAGTCAACCCACCGGTATACTTAACTACCAACACACTACCCCACCCACCTATATACATAACTACCTACACACTACCTGTATCGTCCACCTGGTGACTCCTCTGTCTCTGGCCACCGTGACCTTAGCGTCCTGGAACTGGTATCCAGAACACCAAAGGCGTAGATAAGGTGGGTGCATATGGAAGGGTCAATGTCCTTAAAGTCAAACTTGGCCACCTCTGATTCCCTCTGGTGTGTCCAGTTGGTTACGTAACACACACGTAACTGGCCTAACACTAAAATATTAGACAGGGGCAATATGATTGGACTATTCAATTTATATATATTTTGCAATGTTAATTTATTTAAGTCTATTTATTTCAAAAACAAACTATGTCAATAGACATATGAGTGTTATATAACGTATTATGTTAGTATGTGAAAACATAGGACCCACCAGTTGAACTAATGATAGCAAGTGACCAGGTCAAAAAGTGTAACATTGTCATCCTGTCACTGGCGAGACGTCATCGATCAGGGGTCATCGAGAGGTCATCGACCAGAGCAAGTTTTCCTGTAAAGTTGAAAACATTTGAAATTATTCAGTTATTTTTTACGTTGTTTATTATTTCCAATAGTTTGTCTTTAAAGAATTTTATAATTTATTTATTTTAATCGTTTTTTTCTACCATTTTTTAATCATTTTAAATTTTAATTTTCTGATGCCGTCATGTTTAGTAATAGTTTAAATTAATCTAGTTTTGTATGTGATTTATTTTATAATCAAATTTAGAAAGCATAAAATCATTTTAAAAAAACACACTTTTTTACCTATAAATTATGTTGTATATCTTTTAATTGATTATTTTACCAATAGATGTACGTGTTTTTTAACTATTGCGAGCTGGATTGACAGAAACATTGTTTTAATTTTTCTTGAGCATTACGTTAGCTATGTCAAATGGCATAATTTTAGCCCCACAAAACTATTTTCTCAAAAAATGTTTCAAGACTGTTTCAGCGGTGATTACATTCTTAAATTATAATTTTAAACGATATTTAATTTTTTCTTTCTGGTTTTACTATGCAATTTTGGTTTTTAAAAAAGTACTTTTCGGTATCAACCTGGACTGGACAACTCTTCCCTGTCCCTAGCTGACCCTGACCCAGATGTTTGAGCGTGTTTGGTGTTGCTTTAGCGTCTGAACTCAGCGCGACTGCCGCTGGCCACTGTCAATAGAATCTAATGCGCATGTCAACATTCGGGACTGGACACTGGCCAGTTTGGACGCTGAGTTGGTCGGCAAATGTGGCCAGATAAAAATATTGTTTGTGGTAAGGTCTGACAGAGCACAGTAAGCCGATGTCTTTAAAAAAATAACAGTGGTAAGATGTCCTTAACAGGATAACACAATGCTGAAGAACATTTTAGACAACAATTGTTGTTTTCTTTATATCGTAGATTGTTGTCTAGATGTTAGACTTCACAATGTTACATTAAAAAGTAATTGCTTAGATTGAAACCGTAGGATTATTGCATTTATTGTAGGATGGGTGTGGCTATTATGTAGGTTATATTGAAGGATGTGTGTTGCTGTTTTCTTGGCTGTAGGAACTGATGGTGTAAAGGGATAGGCGAGGGGTTGGTGTAAGGGAGGTAAGAAGGGATTGGTGTAAAGGAGGTAAGAAGGGATTGGTGTAAGGGAGGTAAGAAGGGATTAGTGTAAGGGAGGTAAGGAATGAAGGAGATGTAGACTCGATGAGACAGGTAGACTGGAGGATGGGAAGGTAAACTTAGAGGTGAGGGTAGGGTAGTAGATAGTGATTTAGGGGGTGGGCTAGTGATACATGTATCTTTTAGCACACGGGTAGACAGTTCCTATATGGGACAACGTGGCCAGAGTACTGCACTCGAATATTTAATCCGGAAGTCTTGAGTTCGAATTTGATTTTGTAGGTGTACCTGAGTCCACCCAGCTCTAATGAGTACCCCACTCACGCGAGGTAAAGTAAAGTTGTCTGGGCTAAATGCTGACCACTCCACACTACATCTTAATATGTGCTGGTCAAGACACAGAAGGGCTTTAGTTCATCGTGTTTTGAAAGAATAAATTTCATTTATAAAATGCTAACCGTATTAAAACTTTTTACTTCTATATGACTGACAATCTGAAGGCGCAAATAAACAGACCTAAAGGAGGACACACGCAGAAAAAAACAACCAGATTTACATTAAAATAGCTGTGAATGATAAATGAATATTAAACATCGGGTTCTGTTTCATTTACACAAAAACAGTTTAGACTATCCAACAAACCAACCAACATTCCTTAAAATTATTTCATTTTCATTTACTAATGCCCGTTTTCATTTACTAATGCCCGTGTTCATTTACTAATGCTCGTTTTCAGGTTACAATGATTTTAAAGGCATAATGTTAGTTTTTTTTTCCTGACGCAATTAGATTCAAAAGAAAGTCAGAGAGACTGTCTGGAACACTGTAGGCACTTCAAACATCTAGCATCTAACTAAGTTACATAACTATTAACTAGTCAAACGAGTAAATAACAGAGGAAATAAATTGTAACTTACATGTTGTAGTCTTCCTCTCAGCCCTCGCATTTTTCACGTCCATTTCGTGCAAACATCAGTGGCCGAAAAAAACAGGGACGCAACTCGTGTTTGACGCTTTACAAGGGAAATAACTGTAATGACCGGCTTTTAAATTAAACAGTAGCAGATCGCGAGCGGCGGTCATGGAGAGTTTTTTTTTTCACACGTTGACACAGGTAGCTGGATGGTTACACACACCTGGGGGAGGGGGGGGGGGTGTGACTTTACAGGTAAAATATGAACCGTGGTTCAAGGACATCTACAGCAATGTTGACTTTAAACGGTTTGTACTTCTGTGCATTCTCAAATCTGAAACAAAAACATCAGGAACATGATTTAATGTCCGTCTTTAAGTTTTGATGTAGAGCGCAAGAATGGCATAGTTGTATACTATCTTCAAAGGGGGGGGGGGGCTTGTTCACGAGAAAATGGGGGGGGGGGGGGGGGTTACAATGGTGGTGAATTGATGTTTCTCTTGCCTCAGGGGCGAACAATCAACAATAAAGGGGTTTAATCAAGATCTGTGATATTATCTCACATGTGTTATATGTTGATATTTCAGCGCAGTCGTTGTATGTTGGACTGTGGTCTAGGAAAAAAATAAAACAAGATAAATAGGCAGCAACATACATTTCTAGAACCGCATACAAAACACCATGTTAAAGACTGGTGTATAATTAATATTTGGTCTATGGTTAGGATTTATTTTAAGTTAGTTTTGGGTTAAATATTTTCGTTTTTAGTAATACAGCGTATAAAAAATGTGTGTATGACTAATCGACTGGTATCTCCATCTATTTCCATAGCGATAATTTAACACATTGTAAGGTCAACTAACTTCGAAGTAAAAAAAAATGGGGAACGAAATAATTTATGAACCAAATTGTATAGAAAGATCTGACAGTAAAAAGTCATATTAACTTATTACTATATATTTCAAGCTTTAATAACAACCTAAGCAAAATGTATTTAAGCTTACCATCAGAATAATAGATTATCAAAGATGCACATTCAACACATTTTAAAAACCCACTAAGTTAATGATATGGTAGAACCACGAGAACATATGGCATGGTAAGATAGTTATGTGTGTTGTCAGGGATTACCTCTTAACTTTAATTAATCAGTTTTCGTCTGTGTGTGTTTGGGGGGGGGGGGGGGTGGTGGTCTAATTATAATGATATTGGTAGTTAAGGAGTTAACGTTTTAAAGTTATTATTTAGGAAAGTCGTTGGCAAGCTAGTTGATAATATTTTGCTTTCTCTCGGTACACGATAAATGTGCAAATACAATTGTATAAGTATGCAATACCATAATTAAAATGGTCGTGTTTTTAGACGTTTTAAAGAGTTTACTTGTGATTTTTCTTTTAGAACTTTTTGCATCTACGATTGCTTTTCAATGTGACTACTGTTATTATATTTTTACTATGATTTTTAAAAAATTTAAATTTGCCTGCTACCTTCCTTTCTTCTTATCAGCCGTTAATAATAACCAGGATGGATATTCTCACCCCTACCCCCCACTCCACACTGACAGGACCCCACTTAAAGCTAAAGACCTTACCCCCACTTGCTCCCAAGGACACCGTGATACTTCCTCTTCGGATAAACACAAGTTGGGCTATTTGTTTGACTACTGATACGTATAAGTATGTATACATTTTTCTCATTAAATGTCTAGGATAGCAGATGTTTACTGTTAAATCTCTGAGAATTCTATTATCAGAGATTAAACTAATCCCTTAGCTTAAACAGTACTGTGGTAGCTGTCGTTGGTAGAGATTATACTATCAGTTTATTTAAAATTAGTACCTACCTAATTCAGCCTAATTCCAGCCAAGGGCAAACAATCATTGGTGTCTGGAATGCTCACCCCCCCCCCCCCCCCTTCTCCCCATGGAACATTTAACAAATTGCAACATTGAACCACTTTGTTGTAATTCTGAAATCAATAATTTGGAACAAATCTTAGCAGTTGCTCAGGAAACTTAAAAACAAACGCCCTTATCTTGATCATTTGCCTTCAGCTATCTGACTATAAGTACAGTGTGAGCCAACAGATTAGTGTATTGTGGCTCTGAATCTTTTGCCTTAGTCGCATCTAGCATTAGAGCCGGCTGAAGTAAGTCGAAATGTGTGCATCTGTTGTTGTCTTTAAATAAGACACGTTTCAATGTTTCTGTCCATTTATTGGATACAATGTTTAAATCCCCATTGACTAGACTTATATCCAGCATTTCAGCTACGTAAATAAAATATCCTGTTGCTTTGAAATATAAATCTTAAAGGTTTATAATTTAAACTCTAACAGAAAGCTACTTTTGTTCGTAATTTGAAACGCCCGTAAATCGGAACATTCGTAAACCGGAAATTTCCAAATCTGAATCATCATTTGATAACGATGTATTCCAAGAATAACACAGAGACTGTCAATCTGTATTATCAGTGTTAAGATACTGAAGTCTAGTTATTAGTGTTAAGATTTTGAGGTCTTGTTACAGAAATCTGAAAGATATTTCTGTTTGTTTAGTGGTCATGGATAAAGGAAAGTATCTGTCTCTGGGCGGAAGCGCTGTTGGCAGCGTCGGCTTCATCTTGATCTCAGCCGGTGCCGGTACGGGAGGGTGGATCTCATCAACAGTGAAATCAACGATAGGTGGCGAGTTACCGTCACTAAAAGACACGATGTCAATGTTTACTAGCTTGGGAAGTGGTGAGCCATGTAAGTATGGCATTTGTCAACACTGTATTGTGAGGAACCATGTAAGTATGACATTTGTCAACACTGTATTGTGAGGAACCATGTAAGTATGACACTTGTCAACACTGTATTGTGAGGAACCATGTAAGTATGACATTTGTCAACACTGTATTGCGACGAATCATGTAAGTATGACATTTGTCAACACTGTATTGCGACCAACCATGTAAGTATGACATTTGTCAACACTGTATTGCGACCAACCATGTAAGTACGACATCTGTCAACACTGTATTGCGACCAACCATGTAAGTATGACACTTGTCAACACCGTTTTGCGACGAACCATGTAAGTATGACCTTTGTCAACTATGTATTGAGTATTAACCGAAATAAAAAAAAATAATCCGTGCTTCAATTCAAGCATATAATTGGTTAAACTTTATTCTTGGTTGTTCAAAATGACGCAATACGTTCCCTTGAACATGTCAATAATAATATGCCTCACCAGACACGACAGCTTCAAGTGCTTTGGTGCTTGTCTCGACGATTCTGTCAGCCGTGGCGATGTTGTGCAATTGGGTGCACTTCTATCTACAGGTGAATAAAAAGTTGCCGGAGAGTCTGGTCATGTTGCCAAAAATTGCGCTATACATCGGGAGTTTGTCAGGTAACTGGTACAGTATACTGATGAATTATTATCATCATCATCATCTTTTCCCGTTCGTGCCCAAGACGCATGGGGCAGATGAAATAGAGTTACTCTGTTTCAATGACCTCAGCATACAAGGGAATAATGTGGTCAGCAGTGTGCCCTGTTGCCCTTGTTTCCCTAATGTGAGTTAGGTACCCAACGGGGCTGAGTGAATTCATGGGCGTTCTACCGGAATCGAACACAAAATTTTTAATTTCTCTTATATACTAAGTATAGAGAAAGTCTTGTAATCGTGCAAAAAAGAATCGAGATTTTTTTCAAATCTCGACGTTTTACACCTCCCTGAGTCGGAAAAACATAATTTTGCAATCTTGTCCGTATGTCTTCGTGTGTGTATGTGTGTATGTTAACACTATGACTTAAATACCGTTAGAGCTAGGTTGATGAAATTTCATATATAAGTATTATATAAAATGTGTAGATCCGTATCAACTTTTCAGCGATTTCCGATAACCGGAAGTAGAATTTTTTTCTACTTTGATTTTTTCAAAAGCCTTCAACTTGAGTATTATTTCAGATAGATAAATGATATTTCACATGTAAGTAACAGATCTGATTCTCTGCCTTCCTTCTTTTCAAATTTTGAGTAATTTCCGCTGACCGAAAGTAGTAATTTACGCTATTTCCGATTTCTCAAAAAACCATGTTAATTTATAAAGTACTAATAATATTCCGCACTATTATACACATTTTGTTTGGTGTTCACTTGCAGTTCTTTTTTTCTACGAGATTTTATTTTATTTTTAAAAAGTTTAAGAAAAAGTCCAGCTCTCTACAGCTAAGCCACACCGCCACAGATAATGATGGATGGTATAGTATATTTGTTTCAATGCGATACGATAATTCCTCAATTATAACACAAATAATAATGAAAACAGCCGAGGAATAAAACTCTTATTCGGGTTATTGCAGCCCGGTTAAGGAGCCCATCGTCTTGTAGGAGTTGAGTTAACTACAGGTTAAACAAGAAGTCTGTCAGTGTTATTTTTCATCCAACATAAGTATAGTCTACTTGGTCTACTGCGATCGTAATAGATTAATCATCGTAACCTATCTTGAATTAATAAATATTAAAAAGAATACTTTGTCTTTGTGAGGGTGGGGATTTTTATGAAGGCGAAACGAGTGAATCCAATAACACACAGTTCAAGTTCCAAATACAAAGTTCTTTATTCATATGTATATAATCATGTTCTACCTAACTAGTTATACTCTCTACTATTTACTTCTACTACTGACTGTTCACTATACCACTAACTACGTACTCCCATGATCAATCCTAACACTAACTACCGTTCTCTAGCTCTACATATTACGACCGTCTCTGACCGCTTCCTAACACCTTCTGCCCTCGCTAGCTAATCATGATCTCCCGGCCTAACAGTGGCCCACGCTTCAGTGGTCAGCTGACCGTCCCACGTGACCGGTCAGCCCTGTGCCCATTGGCCTCTCTAACCAACCAACTAGGCCTATAGTCTGTTTCTGCTAACCTTTATCTGCTAAACATGTCTGACGTAATCTTGCGTCATCACAGTCTTATTTAGGAGTGATCTCTCTTAGATGGGTTACCGTCCATGGCTAAATCGTGACTTAGAGGGTTAGAGGTCGTAAACTCCATGACCTGGTC